CCGTGGCCGCTGAGCCTATGCGTCCGGAGCCTGTGCTCCGCAACAGGAGAGGCCACAACAATGAGAGGCCCTCATACCGCAAAAAAAAAAAAAAAAAAAAATTCAGATTTTCGTCTTGTATTGAAAAATCAGATCTAGCGACATTGGGCCTGTATTTATTGCAAGATAATGATTATTAGAGACTGAATAACTTCCAGCATGTACTCTTTCCAGTTCACCATACTCTCCACCACTTCCCATTATCCCAATACCCAGGTCAAGCATATGGTTGCTGTTTAGCATGGTGCTTATGCCACTGTATTTACAGTTCCTGTTCTACATGTAGGAACATATAGGAAGTCACCTGCTCTGTGGAGAGCCTGTATAGCACATTTGACATTACCTGCATTTAAATAATTCTGCTTCCCTTCTAATACAGACTCTTTTTTAAAGTTCCTAATTAAATGTTCTTGCAGATTGACCTCTGTGTAATTAGGAAAATTGATCCATTGTTAGATTGGCCCTGCCTAGTTCAGCTCCTCTTTAGGAAATGCATCGTCTTGTCTAAGCACAATTTTCCTCTGGTGCCACAATGTTGGCCTCAGACTGGAATAGCTCACAGTGTTTTATGTAAGCAAATACTCCAGGAAGGAACTAATTGGAATTGTGTGCAACCTGACAACTGCTCTACATTTAAAGTTCTTTCCCTCCAGAAATGGAAGGAGATTGTCATTTGCGCCTTACATTGTCATTTCAGAAGCAATTGTATTATTCCTACTCTGTTGTTTCCCATTGTTCGTAATAAAATTGGGTAAGTGAGCACAAAGGAAGGTACTTGTAGGTGGCATATTTACCGTTTGGAAATTAGATGCTTAAACCAGACACATTTAAACAACATCAAAAAGTGGTTTCATTTCTTTCACTTTTCACTGTTTTTCGAAGAGCTCATGTTGGCCCATAGGCACCTCTTCTGAATCAATTGTTTAATCCTCTCCTTGGTCTTCATTTTCATTAAAAGATATTTCTATTTGAAGGAGGGTCTCTCATACATTGTTGGTGGAAATGCAAAATGGTACAATTAATTTGGAAAACAGTTCTGACAGTCTCTCAAAACATTAAATATACATTAACCACATGACCTAGCTGTTCTACTCCTAGGTGTTTACCCAAGGGGGGAAAAAAAAAATCTATGTCCTGGCACAGACTTGTACATAAATGTTTACAACTGCTCTATTTTTAAGAGCCAAAAACTGTGAACAGTTCAAATGTTCATCAACATTTAACTTTCTGAGGAACTGCCAAACTACTTTACAAAACAGCTGCACCAATTTACATTCCCACCAGCAATGTATGAGGCTTCTCATTTCTTCACCAACACTTATTATTGTCCACCTCTTTTATTATAGTCATTCTAGTGAGTGTGGAGTGGTTTTGATTTACATTTTCCTAATAACCAATGATGCTGAGCATCTTTTCATTCAATGACCTGATTAAGCCTCAGAAAACAGGATTAGATCTGACTGGTACCTGAATAAATGACCACCTTCTCCTCCCCTTTCTCCCTTTCTATACCAAGATGTCATTTATTTGTTCATTAAATGAGCTTACACTGAGACTGACTCAGCCCTGGGTCAGGCACAGCCAAAGATTCTAAAGAAATAGATATGATGGCCTCTCCCATCAGGAAGCTTAAATTATAATTGAGAATAAAGTGACAAAAGAATCATAATAAACATATACCTTAAAGATAACTTAAAGAATATGTATCTTAAAAGATTAGGTAAAAGACCATTTCCAAGTAGAAATTCCTCCCTAATGCCCTCCAGTCCCTAGGCCACTCCTTGTAGGAGCTGTAAACCAACATGCACGCTGCCTAAAAACACTTAGATGTACATATGGTGAGAGACAGGTTCAGGGCTTTGTGAACAAACTGAATTAAATCAGTATGTCCTGGTTCTGGTGTGTCCTGGCTCTCGCTTGCTGACAGATTCACTTGACAGGGTTTTGTTACATACCTTCTACGTGTGAAGGGTTGACATTCCAGTCGGTCTGCCGGGGCAGGTACTCAGGCTCTTCTGGAGGCCAAATGTGCATCCTCACATAAAAACTGGTGGGAGCTCGCCTCTGCTCCGGTGTGCCTCCCAGGGCATCCTTTCCTTCATCTGCTCCCCGAGCCTCGGGGGTTGGATTGCTCGGTCTCCACCATGGCTGTGCCTGGGTTTCTGCTGTCTTCCTCCCTAACACCCTGAGGGCTGGCCAAGCAGCCATGCCGGCATCCTCTTTCACTGAGGACTCAGCAGCAGAACTGGTTATGCTAGGACACGGTGTTAGAGAAGAGAGCTGGCACATGGCCTGCGTTTCCAGAATCTTCTCTCCTTCCACTGATCTTTGAGGAGACAAGAGAAGTAGGCAGAGCGGTGAGGCAGAAAACATTTGCAATCAGCAAAAGCATCCAATGGCAGACTTCTGAATGTCTAGCGTTCAGACTAAAACCAGAAATGGGTATCTATAGGCTAAATTGAGTAAACAAGATGCAATAAGATTCTTCCACAATGCTTGACACGTAATAGAATGCTTGTTGAACCAATTGTGTCATCAGTCACATGCCAGGCAGACATCTAAAGAAAACTATTTAGTCCATCCTTCTAAACTTGGCAATCGTATATATGCATCAACATGCATATCTAAATCCTTAATACTCATAGGACTGTGGTCCTGAAAAACCATAGTTAAGTTTTGAACCTTAATATAGTTCAAAACTGCGGCAGTGAATGCTGGGTACAAGTCCCAGTTTTGCTGCTTACCAGTTACAGATTACATGATCTTGGGCAAGTCATTTACAACATCAAAAATCTCAATTTCCTTACAGGGAAGGTCGTTGATACCTTAAACAGCATTCTGTTCTAACTTGTTTCTCCTTGTGGCACACTTAGTGCCTCCGGCTTCTTTTACTTCGGTTTTGGTTTCCTGCTTCCCAGCTGGGCCAGCTCCATTTTTCTGCAAAATGGGCAAACCTGTCTAAAGTAAAAATAAAATAAGCTTTTAAAAAAATCACAATGTCAATCTCTAAATGAGTCATATGTCACAAGACATTTTAGCATAATGGTAAGGAACATGATGGCTGAGTCCTAAGGCGTTTGATACTCGGCAGACCTGGATTCCAGTTCTGATTCTGACAGCTACCAGCCATGTGATCTTGGACAAGTTACTTAACCTCACTACACTTGGTTTTCTCATTTGTACCTCCCTGTGGTGAGGTTTAAGTGACATCAGACATATACAACGCTTCGTACAGGGCCTGGCACACAAAGAGGGAGCAATTGATATCAGTTATTATTCTCTTGGCAAACATGATCTCTAAATTAGTTTCCCTAGAATGAAAGTGACATAGATTCATGACGTTTATTAAAGTTTGGAAGAGTCCCATATGCTAGTCCTTTAATTCCATTCATCCTCCAGTGAAAATCTCCATCTGGATGGCAATTTACACTTCCAGATCCACTTTCACAAATACCGCATTTTAACCTCTAACTTTTACTCTTTTTCTTTTTTATATGCATTATCTCAAGCCCCAATTTTTACACACAAAAAGATGACAAAAATCAAAGAAAATGGAGTATTGACTATTAGTTACCATCAAACTTAAGCAAATATTCCTAAACATTTAATGAATTAATTAGCTGGTTTTTTCCCTTAGTAACACTAGTATAGAGGATCATTATTTTTGCTTTATCAATATTTTATTAACGTGTTAATTCAACATGAATTATGCCAACATGAAATTAACATGCAGGGCTAGAGACCCGCAGAGATATATTATCTCCTCTACTTTGAGAGAAGAGAGTTCTAAGTGCACTAAAGGCCAATGTCTGTTCAAACGGGAAATGCTTGCTTGCTGACCGGCCACCCCTAAGCAAGATTTCGATCCCCTGCTGAGTACAATTATTCCTGCATAACACTAAGTGCTCCTACTGTGTGCCCTGCAGAGACAGGAGAGCTGAAGCTGCATCAAACAATTCCTAAACGTAAAGGAATGTTTTCTAGTTGTGGAAGAAAAGACAAAAGAACACCACCAGACTGTACATAATCATATGCTACGCTATTCAGGACAGACTGTGAATGCCCACAGGTAGTGGTTTTCAAAAACGCTAGGCACCTGCAGTTCTAAATAAACCCTTTCCTCGGCATCCAATATGTAAAAGAGACAGAAGAGGATTGAAGAAGTGAAGAGTCCTTCCCCCGTGGCCTTCTGGTGGCAGAGATCACAGGTTTTAAAACTGCCAGGACTGGAGAGATGGGTAAGGTTTGCAGGACACAGGTGGTGGGGGAGGCATTCCAGCTAGGGGAAGAGTAAGGGCAAAGGCAAGGTGGAAATTCAAAATAAGAAGTTCTGTGCCATCCTGGTGAACAACTAGTGAGAAGGTAGTGAATAGGTGGTAAAAGGCTCCCACACGGATGCTTCTGTTTCCCAGCTTGAACTGATTTTTTAATATTTTAAGCCTGGTGAAATAGTTAACAGACTCCCTAAACCAGGGCAGATGGGAAACTTAAGGTTAACGGTGTGCAGTCAATGAAGGTGTCGTGTCATTATTCTTTGTTTCAGAATCATTTCAAGTAGTTGTCAGAGGTAACGGCTTCCGACACGCCCGCAACGTGGACAGGGTCCTCTGCAGCTTCAAGATCAATGAGTCAGTGACGCTCAGTAAGTTCTCGTGGAGTTTGGGGGTTTCTACCACCTGCTTTGCCTGCTTCGGGGAAGGGCTCCCCAGCCCCATCTTCTAGCAAGGCCACACACAGGAAACTACAGAGAAGGGTCTTCCCTGCTAGAAAGGCCACCAGCAAAGGCATAGCTAGCCGCTGCGGCGCCCTTGCTCCCATCAGGAGAGGCAGCAGGCACTTGTTTTCCAGTCCACCAGCATTTTTACCAAGTTCAAAACTCTCAGCTGTCAGTGCAGGCCCTGGCTGCTTAGGGCTTACAAAGCTTGATGTTCCTTAACAAGGAATTCGGGGACTCTCAAGCACAAGAGGGAAAAATAAATGGTCTAAATGTATTAATTCTGAGTAAACTAAAAGCCAAACTGTGCGACTTGCATGTGTAGATTCTGGAAGTGTGTTCTATCTGGATGATTCTTGCTTTGGAGTCGCCAGAAAGCTCTCATCAGGGTGAATACCTGACCTGAAATACAGGCATATGGAAGTAAAACTAAGTGCATTTCATGGGAAAAAAATGAATTGTCATAACATTGGCACTCTCACAAGACATTTGTAGCAGGCAAGTTCTTAATTTAAAGACGTGTGTGATTCAGATTGCTGTCCAGGAAAGATGGGGAGACAGATTATGGAAAGACAAATGCCAGGAGCCCTGGTTATTATTTACATCTGGCATTCATCACACAGATAATTATTGGTTCAGTATCTGCAGCGATAAACAGTAATAACATACTGTATTTTCTGTAGTGCTATGACATTTTAAATACCACACATCTTTTTGCCACAACTGCCCTGGGAGATAGAAAGAGCAAAGAGGAAGGAAAGGATACTCAAGCGTATTGGCTAACCATTCACGCTAGTTTGGTCCTCCTGATAGCGTTATGGAGTAGGTACTATACTGTTTTTAAAAAGGAAGAATTGAAGGGTATGCCTTTTCCCCTCTATAGCATCTTGAAACCCACTTCAATATTTAAACAGAGGTATGCAATGGCATCTTTACGAACATCTGGAATTCCTGAATTTGGAATAATTCCAAAGATTTGAAACAGTCAGTTATTTTTTCTTGATACTTGGAAATGCCCTCATGTATCCAAAAAGTCCATGCTATTTGAAAACATCTTGAAGCATCCCCAAGAAGTCACAGTGTGAAAGTTGGATGTGCACCCTCTAGAGTCCTTCCTTATTTTCCCCTTGAATTTGTGATGTCATTCAAGTCCGCCTTCCCTCTCTCCTTAACCAGAATCGTAAATCTAAGATCAGAAACTCCTGAGGGTTAAACTCAAAAGACATCAACACCTTCCAAAGAAGCCTTCCCAGACAAGCAAGCCTTTGGACACAACCCCTCTCTGAACATGAGTGGACATGGGGTGTAGTGTTGCCATTCCTTGAAAGGTTACGCAGAGATGCTATATGAAGATAACAAAAAAATGCAAATTTACTATGGATTCGTAGAGTGACATACTGAATGCATATTTTCCAGCTTCTCCATGAAATTTTATTTCTTGGGAAACTAGCTTCTCTTCCTTTCCTAATACAAACTTGCAAACACCCGCACAGGCTCTCCACCTGATTCATAATCAAAAAGGAATAAAGGCCTTTGGGGTAGGGATTTAGCTTAAACCACAAACCTAATTGTGCCTCCAACACAAGTGCTGACAGTTTGGAGAAAAGAAAGGCAGTGACTCAACCACATTATATGCTGCAAGTAACACTCCTGAACTCAAATAGTTATTAAAAATATTCTAGCTAGGGGGAAAATATTGGAATTTGAAAAAAAATTGTCATTCATTTATTAATTCATTTGTTCTTTTACATTCAGTAAATAATATGAACAAGAAACTGTGGAGGACAGAAAAGATAAATAAATTTTAAAATGCAACATATTCAATTCTACATTTTTCTACCAACCTTATGAATGTAAGTATCTCACTGAGTTGTCCCCATAAAATAAAATAAATTTAGATTCTTTTACTTTTTCCATTCTCCTTTCCCACTTCTACATCCAAGTTTTACATTATCTGTTTTAATTTTTATAGTATATATTTCCTCTTTCAAGATTTTTTCCTAAATACTGCATTACATTTTATAACAAAAAAAGAGAATAGAAGTGCCCTTATCAACCATAATAAGGCTAATTGCAGGCTGGATAATGAAGCTATGGCTGTTATGATATAAGCCTTGGACTCTTCAACAAATAAAGTATTATTTGTAGCAGATTATATAAAGAAAAACAGTTAAATAAAAAATAACAAACTGAGGGCTTCCCTGGTGGCGCAGTGGCTGAGAGTCCGCCTGCCGATGCAGGGTACACGGGTTCGTGCCCCGGTCCGGGAAGATCCCACATGCAGCAGAGCGGCTGGGCCCGTGAGCCATGGCCGCTGAGCCTGCGCGTCCGGAGCCTGTGCTCCGCGACGGGAGGGGCCACAGCAGTGACAGGCCCGTGTACCGCAAAAAATAAATAAATAAAATATAACAAATTGAAAAGACTATGAACACCCTTTAACATTATTGCACTAAGACACAAATAAAACACCAACATACTAATACCAAAATGTTGAAGTTGTTTAAATATATTCTTAGATGATAAATATAACCAGAAAATTAAAAGCATAGGTTAATACCTATGTCTCTCCTGCTTTTCTTGCCTTTGCAAGGAAAGAAAGTAAAAAAAACAACCACTTAGGAATCTAAAACAATTTCTGGACTTGTTTCTGGTCAATATAATAGATCCAAAATTCTGCATAAAATATGATTTTTAAAATTGTGACATGTGGCGTTGCTCAAGGGAATGAGTAGGAAACCCCCAGGCACAGGAGACCAAAAGGGAATGCAAAATCTAAGCAGGAAGCAAAGCTCTGGGGGCTCTGGGCCTGAGGGGTCTTCAGGCTGTGATCTTGCTACTGATGTAGATACAGGGCACCAGCAAGACAAGCAGGCAAAAGCAGAGCATCCTGTAGAAATCAGGCTCTGAGGGCTGTACCAGACATTGAATGGGGACAGGGAAAGCTGCTCAGTGATTCAAGGAAGCAGGCAGGGGAATAAAGGTAAGATGTTTTACCAGCTGCATAATACAGAAGCACCAAGTCAGGAAACTAACTCCAAAATATGTCTGTGGCCATCCAGATCCCTGTGGCCCTGGCAGAGGCAGTATACATCCAGTCCAACCTACACCACTCCTGAAGCCATAACCCCCTCTGAAGGTGGGCTCGCAGCACCAAATGATAAATCATATGATAAAAGATGAAAGAAAACGGAGAGCAAGCAAGACTAAAGAGGAATTTGAAAGAGGATGTAAAATAAACACATTTAAAGCGTCTGAAAACAAGAAAACAAGTCAAATAAGCAGTCTGCACCTTACACCTAAAGGGACTAGAAAAATAAGAACAAACAAAACCCAAAGTTACTAGAAGGAAAAATAAAGATCAGAGTGTAAATAAAACAAAGAATTAAAAAACAGTAGAAAAGATCAATGAAGCTTAGAGCTGTTTCTTTGAAAAGACTGACAAAATTGATAAACCTTTAGCCAAACTCATCAAGAAAAAAAGAGAGAGGATCCAAATAAATAAAATCAGAAATGAAGGAGAAGTTACAGCCGACACCAGAGAAATACAAAGGATCGTAAGAGATTACCACTGGGTTGGCCAAAAAGTGTCTTCGGTTTTCTAAGAAAAAATAAAAGACACATTTTTCATTTTCACCAAGAATTTTATTGAACAACTTTATTCACCATTTTGTTCCACTACCTTCTGCCATTTTTCAGGCAACTTCATAATTCCATCTTCCCAAAACTTTTTTTCTTTTTAAGCAAAGAACTGGTCCCGTTGCCTTTTACAGTCTTCCAGGGAATTGAAATTTTTTCCATTAAGAGAATTTTTTAAAGACCGAAATAAATGGAAATCTGAAGGTGCAATGTCTGATGAATACGGCAGATGAATCAGAACTTCCCAGCCAACTTGTAACAGTTTTTGCCTGGTCATCAAAGAAACATGCGGTCTTGCGTTATCCTGATGGAAGGTTGTGCATTTTCTTTTGACTAATTCTGGACACTTTTCGTCGAGTGCCACTTTCAGTTGGTCTAATTGAGAGCAGTACTTGTTGGAATTAATCGTTTGGTTTTCTGGAAGGAGCTCATAATAGAGGACTCCTTTCCAATGCCACCATATACAAAACATCACCTTTTTTGGATGAAGACCAGCCTTTGGTGTGGTTGGCGGTGGTTTATTTCACTTGCCCCATGATCTCTTCCGTTCCACATTGTTGTACAGTATCCACTTTTCATCACCCATCACAATTTGTTTTAAAAATGGAATGTTTTCATTACGTTTCAATAGAGAATCACATATGGAAATATGGTCAAGAAGGTTTTTTTCCACTTAACTTATGTGGAACACAAACATCAAAGTGATTAACATAAATAACCAAGCTGATGCAAATGATTTTCAACACTTGATTTGGATATTTTGAGTATGTCGGCTATCTCCCACGTAATATAACATTGATTGTTCTCAATTATTGTTTCGATTTGATCACTATCAACTTCAACTGGTCTACCTGACTGTGGAGCATCGTCCAGTGAGAAACCCCCAGCATGAGACTTCACAAACCACTTTTGACACGTTCCATCAGTCACAGCACCTTCTCCAAATGCTGCACAAATCTTTTTTTGTGTTTCAGTTACGTTTTTACCTTTCTTGAAATAATAAAGCATAATATGCCAAAAATGTTGCTTTTTTTCTTCCATCTTCAATATTCAAATGGCTACACAAAAATTCACCAATTTTGATAGTCTTTTTTTAAATGCACGCTGATATGACTACCGTCACATACAATCTAACAAAACTGTTTCGAATGAAGTTAAAGACAACTAAGTGCTACTAGAGACATCTTACAGAAATAATCAAACAAACCTTTTGGCCCACCCAATACAAACAATTATATGACAATAAAATGGGCAACCTAGAAGAAATGGATAAATTCCTAGAAATGTGCAAT